TCGCAGGTCCACACGCTGTGGGTCAATACAATCACAAAACCACAAAAAATTAGGCGGCCGATCGGGTCCCAGCTTTGTGTTGATGATATCAAGGCCACATTAGGAAGGAGCAGTTGCACCCCGACCCTTAGTCCACCAGTCAGCCACTCCACACAACACAAAATTGGGCGCGGTCCGAGTTACCTTGCCAGTTGGCAACCCTTCCCCCACCTCCCCCCCCACCCAAATCATGATTCTTAGCTCACAGTGATAGCTTTTAGTTTGGCGGATTGCTTATAATGAGGAAAAAAGGGGTTGAACCACCGACCTCATTATCTACCCCACCGCAAGCATCAGGTCACCGCTGGGACAACACTTTTATTCGCCTGAGGTTTAGACATCATTCGTGGACTCCTTATCAGAGACATGAGCAGAAAGTAATGGCAGAAACAGGAAACATGTGCACAAGAATTATCAGTTTTTATAGGACAAACGTATAACGACAATTAACGGTAATTGCCCTCTTGTGCGTTGATAGCTTGTTGACCGGCATGCGGGCTCTGACTTGCTGAACTTTCATCACGCCTGGTGCACTCGAACATGATGATTGCTCGACCATCTGGCTCTCCGGTGTTGGCGTAAGACGACACGGTGGCCTGTGTGTTCCCCAAGTGGCGACTTGCTTTGGCTCAATTGAGCCTAAGCACCGAAAATGGACTAGGCAAACCGTTGCACTTGTTTATGGATTGGAGGCCCGGGCCTTATTAGTTAATAATACACGCAACAGTTCAACTGTCCTTTTCGACGGTGTTCACCGTGTGCTCCACTGCAGGATGATACAGGGACGGTGGCTTGCGCTAGATTACAGTGAGAGTAGACTTGCACTGCATCTACATCACTCTCTAACCACTTCCCATCTCGGCCCAGTGACAAAGCAAAGTCAAGAAGAATGGGAATGGGAGAGGGCGCAGGGCGCAGGGCCACGCACTGTAGGTCACCACAACCAGAAGACCACTACAAAACTGGGGGTGGCTCGGACCACAGTTGAGTGGAAGTGTCAACAGTGCCATGTTAAGAAGGAGCCATTGCAGCCTGATTACCTCAGTCCGCCCGTCAGCCACTCTACATAACGCAACACACATACTAGTCCAACAAGATTCACGGAGCCACAACATAGTGTGGTATATGAATGCGGTGCGCCCGGGTGGCACGGCTATGCACTCCAATTCAAGTTCTTATTTGGCCATCTAAAGACTAAATTTATGATCTCCGAACGAGCTGTGATCCACATGAGCTTCGCGTTCGCCCATCTGGCCAGCCCACAGGGCTTACTATGGATGTTAACTTTTGGCTTAAAACTCCAGCTCCGATCAGCTGGGAGCTGGTAGAAGTATTTTCAGTAACCGACTGCACCCGCATTCAAACCTCAGGGACTCATAGTCTGCTCTCGTTTTTTGTTTGACAAATGGCAGCAAAGTGTCTTTTCAGTAGCCCCACTATAAATAGCTCACCAAATTTGTTTTGTGTGCAGCTAATTGTCATCCCAACATTTTTTTCCAGCGTGCGTGACATTGAGGATACCATTGGAAAATTGAAACAACAACTGGATGAGGTTCACAGTGATAAATTGTCAGCGGAGGACCTGCTAAAAATGGCTGAGGCACGGCTGGACTCTGAGGCTGACTGTCAGAAGAGGATGCGGAAAAAGCTGGAAAAACTGAGAGTTGAGCGATTTGAGCTGGTTGAGGTGAGTATTCTAATTGTTGCAACAATAAACATCACCTCAGCTTTATTGTTTGGGGGGGAAGGGTATTGGCCTCCTCTCCGAACCACGCACGATACTCACATTTTGAAGGGAATGTAACGGTGGAATAGGTCTCCGGGAGATATGAGCTCTAGCGGTTAACTGCACCGAACCAAATGACTGATATCCTCCCTCTGGAAAACTAGAGGACGGCGGCGTAAGCAGAAAAACACTCAGAGTTAAGTCCGCCCGCATTTTCGTAACTTGCGTAAAAGCGTTTGTTCTTTAACTTTTTAGTGTGTGTCCTTTGAAGAATAGAGGCGGATATGGCTCTCTTTAATATATTTGTCGGAAGCGTTCTAATGCGAGGTTTCGAACAACCCAAACATTAAGCACCTCAGGAAAAATAGTGCCCACTGCAAAGGGAAAATAGTACACCTAGGGGTACTTTCTAAATAAGGTTTTCTACTTTTGTTAAAAGGTTTGAATCTTGTTAAGACTCGCTCCCGGGACTTCTAATTGACACAAACGCCGAACCAAAGAGCCCGAACGAGAGAGACAGAGAAAAGACCAGTCGGTCAGAGAGAGAGTGCGTTTATCCAGACAAGCACTTTAAGCAAGTCGGCACAAGTCTTTTAGGGTATAAAGTACAACATATTTAGGTCAACAAACCAATGTAAGCTAGGTCCATCGAGCCAACAAGCTTTTGCTCTGGCTTGAATACCGGAACGATTGGCTGTGACTCAGTGACTGAATGCAGTTTAAATTTTGGATTGTTGATTGCTTGATTGCCTGTATGCGTTCGCCTCGTGTAGGCCGATCGATAGCCTGCTATGAGTGCGGCCGCTTGCTGCATGCACCCAACAAACTTCTACCAAAATTATCATACATTGAGAAATTCAATCTCAGGATTATATAGTTAATTTTATTTCGGCAAAAATTTCCATTTCATTTAGGATTGAAAAGTCGTGTTGGCAAACAGTTGTTTTCGGTCATTCACTTCAGGCC